ATGGGGTCACCCACCTCCAATTGACCAGACTCAAGCAGGAGCAACAGTCCAACGGGAACAAATAAAAGGAGCAGTGGGCAGGGGTTTGGCAAGTGACAGACAACACACAGGGTTAGAGCTGAATGTATTTTTACTGAATCAAAGCAGCAGATTATATAGACCAAAAATTGGCAATGATTACAAAATATAAGATTAAGTGGTTACATAAAGGTCGGATAGAATTCTAAGAAAAGTTTTTAATAATTCATGTGAACTTAAAGCACTTAAAGATAGTCACTGCAATAGTCATCCCTGACCTGCCGCCTTTACTTTCTGTTTTCTGGTTTTAGATAGTATAGTGTCTTCTCATTCTGTGTCTCTGTTCAAATACCTGACCATCTGTTTTATACCAGCCTAAAACCCACTCCTTTGCTTTTTCCTCTGAACGTCATCCTCCATTCCTAGTTTAAAGCCATTCCAACATGTATTTACTTAGCCTTAAACATTTGTTCCTTGAGACTATCCTGCTGTTCTTTACAGAGGTTTCCTAACCTCTCCAAGAAAGACAAACCAAGAGACATGTTTACCTCCTACATTAATCATCCTGTCTCCATTCCTGGAAGCTCCGGTATAAGGAAGAGGGGCATCAGTGGATTCTGGAATTTTTATAATCTTTCCCCTGAGATTTCAGAGGCATCCACAATCTATTCCTTATAACATAAACTGGACCCTTTTGAGTCATAAGAGTGACTGTCTTTTTCATGGGAATACTACTTTCATTTGCCTTTCCTTGGAAATGAGTTTTCTTGAGTTTTAGCAAATAATTCTTCTTGCTGCAACTGGACCCATATGCTAGTCCCTCCGTTTAGGTTTGTATTCTGATTTAATCATCACTTGAAGGACAGGAGGAAGTTTGGAAACAAAAGGAGGAGCTGTTCTTACAAGTTCCTCAATATATAATTTCCAAGGAACATGACCTTCTTGAACATGGAAGCAGCCTCCACTGCCAATCCTGATAGCCGCAACGCCAGCACAAATCATAGTAATCATAAGAACTGCAGCAAAGCTCAAAAAGATACTCAATGCACATGTTTTTTTTCCAGGAAGCTGAGTTCCTTGAACTTTACGCCTCAATCCGGTGACCAGGTCACCATGCAGACTCCACTGAAGTTAGCATGGCACCCCCCACCCCCCATCTCCAAAATTTTAACCCAGAATTGCTCCTGTCTAAAGAAAATACAGGGACTAAGCGGAACAGAGATTGAAGGAAAGGCCATCTAGAGACTGCCCCACCTGGGGGTCCATCTCACATGCAGAACCAAACCCAGACACTATTGCAGATACCTAGAAGTACTTGCTGACAGGAGCCTGATATAGCTGTCTCCTAAGAGGCTCTGCCAGATCCTGACCACTCAGATGTGGATGTACACAGTCAAACATTGGACTGAGCATGGGGACCCCAATGGGGAAGTTAGGGCAAGGACTGTAGGAGCTGAAGGGGTTTACAACCTCATAGGAAGAACAACAATATCAACCAACCAGACTCCCCCCCACCCCCCCACCCCCGCCAACACACACACAAAGCTCCCAGCGACTAAACCACCAACCAGAGAGTACACAGGGGGTGCCCATGGCTCTAGCTGGATATGTAGCAGAGGACTGCCTTATCTGGCATCACTGGGAGGGGAGCCCCTTGGTCCAGTGGAGGCTTGATCACCCAGGATAGGGGAATGCTAGGCTGCTGAGGCAAGAGTGGGGGTGGAAGCACCCTCATAGAAGCAGGGGGAGGGAGGAGGGGATAAAGGCTTGTGGAAGGGGAACTGGGAAAGGGGTTAACATTTCAAATGTAAATAAAATAACCAATTAAAAAAAAAAAAAAGAAATACTCTCTGGTAGAGGGAGTGTCATCAATAAGATACCATTTGACCTTGCCCCTATGTGCAATGTTAGTTACTGAGATCTATAACTTGACACACAAAGCTATACACAACAGCCTGTGTCTCAAATGTCTGAGCTCACTTAACTGTGTCAATGAGGATTTTACATATCTGCATAGGATGGTCCCCTTAATTGAAAATTCAATATTCACTGGCTCAAGCTAACCTACTCAAATTTTACAACCACCAATCCGGTCTGTTTTCATTCACATGCATGAATTAACACATGATAGAAAATCACAATATTACTCAACGCTGCCTAAATCAGGTCCTTCTTCAGAATGGTGCAGCGACTCCCTTCAACCGTAGTCTGTGCTCTAGTTATTGCCTACCCTGTTTCACCCAGCCATGTACAATAAACTGTTCCTCCTATTCTGATCTGAAGACAAAAGCCATGTACCACATGCAAATCCTTTTCCTGTTAGTCCAATGGACTAATTCCATTAAAATGGGTGATGTTTAAGAACTCTGTTGTAATACAGCCATTTAACTTGAGAATTTAATCACAAAAGGTCATTGCCCTAGGGATCAACTGACTAGGATCAAGGTGGCCTGAGTCAATATAACGTGTCTCAGAAACATTTTTCTTTTCTAAAAGGCTGAAGATGCACCTGTCCTGGAATCTCTTCCCAGGGAAAAATCACTCCACACACAATTAAAAGAAAAGAAAAACCTCTTTCATGACTGCATGCATTCAGCTCTGGCTAAGGGTAAAAGAGGAACCAACCTAGAACAGATTCTACATTTCACATATGCCATCACCCTTAAGCCTCTTCAGGTTCAGGTTATGTTTTGAACAATTTAAATATGAACTGGAAACTGCCAAGTCTAGCCACTTAGACAGACAGGAGAAATACACAGCAAAAATATTCCCAGAATTATTCCCTAAGTACACCAGTGTCCCCAATCCACACTGAAAGGCCCTCAAAACTATGTGACAAGGTGCTAAGTGGAAGGTTCCAGATAAAATAGATAAGAAAAGTAGAAGATAGAAAGTATAAAAGCTGGGGTGAGGAGATCTTAGGCAAGCTGGTTTATGCCAAGTAAGCTTCTTAGGAAGAATAGCATCTTGTATACTACTTCCAGGGGGAAATGGGAGACTTCTTTGAAGTTAGCAGAAAGTATCATACAAAGAGACAAACTTAGGAGGAGTGTAATAAACTAATGCTGGACAAGGGGAACACAGGGTCTCTCAAGAACAGTACTGAACAAGCCCACAGTAGCCCTGGGACTGAGAACCACAGCCCAGTGTGGTGGGAAGAGCTGGGTTCTCAAGATCTGAAGCAACCTCTTCTGAAAGGCACTGGCTCCAGACCACTATCAGCTCTCCCAAATACAGTCATGGCTTCAGAGAATGTCTTAGTTAGGGTTATACTGCTGTGAACAGACACCATGACCAAGGCAACTCTTATAAGGACAACATTTAATTGAGGCTGGCTTACAGGTTCAGAGGTTCAGTCCATTATCATCAAGGCAGGAACATGGCAGCATCCAGGCAGGCATGGTGCAGGAGGAGCTGAGAGTTCTACATCTTCATCTGAAGACTGCTAGCAGAATACTGGCTTCCAGGCAGCTAGGATGGGGGTCTTAACCCCCAAACCCAGTAACATATCTACTCCAACAGGATCACACCTTCTAATAGTGCTACTCCCTGAGCCGAGCATATACAAACCATTACAGAGAAGGAGCTCTATTTTATTCTAAATAAATCAGGGCCTTAGGGATAGCTCCCAAGTCCCAGGCCCCAGGCTGTCACTAGCTCTAACAAGCATTACTGGGCCTGAGAAAAAGCTATGTCATTCTCCATACATGTGGGCCTGCCTCATGGAAAGCCTTGCTTGATCAAAACAGCCCTCAACACAACCATGTTTTTTCCTTTTCAAAGAGTTATCACCTGGTGTAGTCTTGCCCATGTAGCAGAACAAGAAGAAAATATACTTGTAGGTCACATCAGGTCTTAATGTTGGTTATGACCCTGTAATGCCTCCTGAGCAGCTTGTTGTCTTGGATATTCTTGGATATGACAATGGACCTAATGGCTGGTTGTAAATCAGGAATGCTATGGTTTGGAACCAAATTTCAGGACAACCCTGGTCAACAAACATGTGTATCCTAGCATCTTAATCTCTAACAGGCCTGGTTAGCATACTACTTCTCTGTAGGGTGTCTTAGCTTAAATTTTATTTGATGTTACGATTTCTAAGCATTGGTAAACCCTTTACATCATCTATTCTTCTCTTCTACATCACAGCTAAATATTGGAGTGCTTCTACCCAACACTTGAGTTGAGATACCTTGAAGAACCCCCACAAAATTACCTCCAACTGGATCTTACACCTAAATGTTAACTGCTAAGGGCAGCCCATGTAGAAGATACTAAAGAAACTAGGACTATCCAAGTTTGTCTTCCTGCCAAGGCTGTGTCTACACACATGACCCTGTTTCAAATACACTGATCCAGCCCCCAAAGTGAAGTAATTCCGAGGCCACCGCCAGGTCCAGGGAGTGACTAGGTCCGCGAGACTTCAGAGGGAACTGCAACAGGCTGCCGCTTCCCACCCAGCGCCAGGAAGGACCCACCACTCCAGCTCCCCACTGCTCAGCCGCCTGCTCCTCCCCTTTGTGGGCAATGAACTTGCCCCCACGATGTCAGGATTTTGGAGCTTGCCTGATCTCCCCTTATAGTACCCAGCAGCAGCACACACACAGAGCACAGCACACCAAATCATTCAAGCCTGCTCAGCTACAGATCGGAACCTACAGCAGGGCACTCGGAAAACAAAACAAAACAAAACCCTCCTCTTCTGACTGGCAGGTCCGCCTGTAGGCCCTGACTGGCCAGTAAGTCTTGAGTACCTCCCTTAGGGTTAGAGTGTGCTGAAGGAACAGGGCATAGTGTTCCTGGCCCAGGCTTCCAGTCCAGGGCCAGACTATTTCCAGATATGCAAAGATCTGCATTTCGGGAGCACTTGTGGCTGTCCTCCATTAGCCTACCTGCTTGTCTTCCCACCCAGCCTCTGGGGAGGACCCAACACTCTCGCTCCCACGGCTCTTCCCCTTTGTGGGCAGTGAGCCCGCTCTTACCATGCTGTGACTGCAGAGCTTGCCTGAGCTCCCCTCACCGCACCAAACTGCAGCACACAGAGCACGTCACACCGAACCATTCCAGCCTGCTGAAGGGCAGAGCTGGACTTGCAGTACAGCACCCGGAAGAACCCTCCTTCTCTTCGGACTAATAGGTCTGCCTGGAGATCCTGATTGGCCGGTGAGTCTTGAGTGACAGGAGCACCTCCCTTAGGGTTAAAGTGTGCCGACGAGACAGAGCATAGTGATTCTTCCGCCAGGCTTTCAGTCCAGTGCCTGATCTTTTCCGGATATGCAGAGATTTGCATTTCAGTAGCACTTTTCGGTGTCCTCCAATAGCTACCACAGCCAGCCCTAGGGAGGTCCCACCACTCTGGGTCTTTGCTGCTCGGTTGCCTGCTCCTCCCCTTTGTGGGCCTTGATCCTGCTCTCACCTTGCCTGTGACTTCAGAGCTTGCCTGGTCTCCCCTCACAGCACTCGGTAGACACTTTCTTCTTTTCCTCCTGGGATCAAGGTGGATAGCTTGCTTAGCCCATTACTCGCAGTGGAGTTATCAGTCTGTCCCACAAGTGGAAGGATGCTCAGAATGTTAAGCGTTAAAGAGAGATTTTAGGGAACAAGAGTTTTATTTTGTGGCTTCATGCTAGGTTCTGCTTCTTTCGCCTGGGAGGTATAAGACACGACTCGGAGAAAAGCAGGAAACAGATGACAAACACTGTGGAACACTATTGTTAGCCAGCACATCTTCCTAGTGGGAAGGTGCAAAACAAAAAACAAACAAACAAACAAACAAAAAACCCACAGGTGTCTTAGTCTAGGATCTCCAGATGAACAGAATTGATAGATTGAGTCTACGTATGTAGAAAGTGTATACCCATGGAAAGTTGAAGACTATACTAGTGGTTCAGTCCACGTGGCTGAATGTCTCAGTGGTCTTCAGTATATAACATAAGCCTCAAGAAGCAGGCTCTAATGCTGTTTAAAAAAATGAACTTGCTATCCAGAGGTAGGGAAAGCAGAAAGAGAAAGAACTACCATTTTCAATGTTCTTCATATATTTAGGCTGCCACCAGAAGCTGTAGCCTAGGTTAAAACTAGATCTTGTCACCTCAAAAGAATCAGATTAAAGATGGGTTTTGTCAAAAATCCCCCACAGTACCCAATTTTTGGGTTTTAGTTAACTCCAGGGGTAGTCGTTTTGACTAAGAACAGTAGCCATCACAACAGCCAAGACATTAGAATTGAGAAACTTTCCACTCCAACCCCAAGGCATGGCAGACCAGGAAAGCATTAGAATTATTTCCAAAGCTGTGATTTTATTAAACAAAGGAAACATTAACATTTTACTTAAGGAATCTGGATATGACATAAGTTTGCATAGTCCTAAGCATGTTAAGGTAAATCCTTTTCTGAATGTGGTCACAGTGTAATAGCAGAGATACTTAAGAACATTCTTAGCCGGGCGGTGGTGGCACACGCCTTTAATCCCAGCACTTGGGAGGCAGAGGCAGGCGGATTTCTGAGTTCAAGGCCAGCCTGGTCTACAGAGTGAGTTCCAGGACAGCCAGGGCTACACAGAGAAACCCTGTCTCGAAACACCGAAAATAAATAAATAGATAAATAAATAAATAAATAAATAAGAATACAAAGAACATTCTTAGCTCGGAGTCATACAAACATATGTAAATTATAAAAATGATGGACAGAAATGCCTCTGGAATGTTCCTCTTGTACCATAAGTTCTTAGCTGAACACAGGTAAATGACTCTGTGAAAGTAGCTTGCTCAGGAGTCAGTGCTCCCTGGTGATTATGATGTCTGATCTAACGGATAGAGATATCAATGCCTCAGTTCTCACATACACAAAGAACAAAGAACAAAAATCCAGAAAACATCAAGGAAAAGTCACCTATCAGCACTGTGAATACTGTTCTTAGAGGAAAAGCTTTTCTGAGCTATTCTATCCTCACCATAAGGCTGTTTTGCCACTGAGCCGGTTGGCTCAGAGGAATGCCATAGCTGCTTCCATGCAAGACCAGAAGGACTTCATTTTAACTGGTCCTTACTGCTGTACATCACAGGGCTGTGACATCACTGTATAGAACCCTATTTTTTTAAAGTTTACTTTTATTTGATATGCATGTGCATTTGCTTGTAGGTGTCTGTGTCCAGTGCCAACAGAGGCTAGAAGAAAGCAGGAGAATCCTGGCACTACAGTTACAGTAAATGGTTAGCTACCATGTGGTTTCTGGGGGTGGAGCCTGTGTCCTCTGTAACAACACCTATTGCTTTTAACTGCTAATGTATCTCTCTGACCACTTTTTAATTTAAAATTTACTTTTATGCATTTCAATTAAACCATATTAGCTCACTTTCCCCCTTCCAGTCCTCTCTCCATCCCTTCTCAAGTTCTTCCCAGCCAATTTCTTCCTTGTTAAGTATATGTGAATAAGTATGCTCAAATGTGACCCCACCCAGCCTGTGCTGGACAAGCAGACCTTGAACATCACCAGACAGGCTGAACAGAACTTGGGTAAGCAGACCTTGAATATTTGCCACGATAGGCAGGATTTACAGACTCTGTATGACAGACCTTATTGGCCTGAAAAGAGACATCTTCATTGGCTGCAGCTGCAAGCTTTGATGTAAGAGACATCTTCATTGGCTGCAGCTGCAAGCTTTGATGTACTGGAAATGATGTGTTAACAAGATATGGGAACGTATTGGATTGGCTGCTGCGCCTTTGCTACCCTGCATTACTGTTCTGGGGATGGGTTTGTGATTTTCCCCTTTATATATGCTGTGCTGAATATTAAACTTTGAGCCTTGATCAGAACCTTGTCTTGGCTCCATGTTTCTCTCAATCCCCGCCCTTTACATTTCCAGCCCTCCTTTCAGGTGAGCCCTGCTCTACAGTAAGCCGCTGGATGGCTACACTCAAATATATGAATAAAACTTGCTGAGTCCATTTCTGTCGATTGTGTGCATATGGTTTCAGGATTGACCATGTTGCATTAGATAGCCAAATAGGAAGCTCATTTACTAGTTCTCCCACCTGCAGGAGAGTGCCACTTTTTAATGAGCAACAGGATGTTGAGGTTTGGAGCTAAATCTCTGGACAATCCTGGTGAACAAAATGTGTATCCTAGCTTCCTATTCTCTAACAGGCCTTGCACTCACAAATCACTAGTGAAACCTGCAATGATAAAAACACAGAGGCCTTTTCTTGATAAAGGAGGTAAAATGCTTGCATTGAATCCAAAAGATTGGGAGTAGTTTTTTTTTTTATTCGTTATTTTATTTATTTAGATTTCAAATGTGCCACACCAACCCCTGTAGACAAGTTCCACAGACTGAGGTGAAAACTTCAAAAGGAGGCCTCCTGGAACAGATTGTGGAACTCTTAGCTGGAACAAAACATTGAGCCGTAGTTCTCATGGCAATTTATCTGTTTTATCTTCTTTTATTCTTTTTCTTATTTATGAGATGTTCCTGATAGCCTAGGCTAAGATCTTAAGTGAGAATAATAGGTAAGAAACCATCCCTTGAGATGGGGTCACTAACCACGACCTTATCTCCAGGGAAACTAGCGCTTTACTTTATAAAAATCATTTACAAAATTACATAATAGTATTATGATAGATAAAAACTTACCCAACAATAAAATTTCATATGGCTACACGTGTGTCATCAGAAGTGGAAAGTATATTGTTTAAGAAAGCCTTAAATAAAAAGAATTAAAATAGTTTAAATTTACACTTTGAATATTTATAAAAAAAATCAGGTACTAGATGTTAAACAATAACTGACCATAAAAGTTTATTAACTTTTTCTTGGAAATTTGCCACTAGCCTTGGATGATTTTTATTGTGCCAAATAATAATGTTGTTACCTATTCTATCTGTGATTACTTCACTGAAGACACTTTTTCAGAAGTTGTAATACTTGGATGATTTTGTATTTTATTGTGCCAAATGACTGTGGTGATGTCTGTTCTATTTGACTGCTTCACTGAACACATCTTTTCAGAGTTGTAATACTTGTTTCTTTACACATAAAAATCCTTGCTTGACAACTACAAAGTACATTCAGATTCAAACTGCCTCTGTGTTTGTTTTCTGTTTGTCACCACCAAATCCTTACCCACCTAGCCTTCGAGGACCCTCATCCCAGGGACCCCCATACCCAACTGGGGTGGTCTGTGGGATAAATGTTGTCTCCCTTCCCAGTCCCCGCTCCACAAACCCCTCATCCCATTGCCCACCTTTTGTCTCTAAGGGGATGCTCCTCCATTCACCCACCCACTCCTGCCTCACTTCTCTAGCATCTCCCTATGCTGGGGCATCAAGCTTCCACAGAACCAAGGGCCTCCCCTTCCATTGATGGCAGATAAGGCAATCCTCTGCTACATAAGTACGCAGTTGGAGCTTGAACACGTCCATTTATACTGTTTGGTTGGTGGTTTAGTCTCTGAGAGCTCTGGGGTGTTCGGTTAGTTGATATTGTCGATCTTCTTATGGGGTTGCAATCCCCTTCAGCTCTTTCAGTCCTTTCCCTAACTCTTCCCCAGGCTCAGTCTGATGGTTGGCTGTAAGTATCTTCATTTTTATTAGTTGGGTGGTGGCAGAGCCTTTGGGGAGTAGCTATACCAGATTCTTGCCTGGAAGCATTTCTTAGCATCAACAGTAATGTCAGGGTTTGGTGTCTGCAGATGGAATAGATCCCTAAGTGGGGAAGTCTCTAGATGGCTTTCCCTTCAGTCTCTACTCCATTTTTAGACTCTGCATTTCCTTTGGACAGGAACAATTATAGGTTAAAAATTTTGAGATGGGTGGGTGGCCCCATCCCTCAAGTGGGGGGCTGCCTATTTACTAGAGCTGAACTCTACAAGTTTTATCTCCTCTTTTTTGAGTATTTCAGCTAATGTCAAACCCACTGGGTCCTGGGAACCTCTCACTTCTCTAGCATCTGGGACTTTCTAGTGGCTACCCCCAGTTTCCCCTTACCCCCACTCCTGCATATTTCTATTCATTTTCCTGACCCTCTGATCTTCTTTCCTGTCTCTTCCCACACCTGATATTGCTCACCCCCCACCCCCGCTTTG